GGGAGATGCCACCCACCCAGAAGACCCCAGACGACCAGGGAGGCTGGGCAGGACAGCCAAGCAGTCTTTACACAGGAGGCCCGGGTGGCCAGCCGAGCAGGCAGCCTTCCCGGAGGCGGGATTAGGCGTGTGCTGCTGGACATGACTAAATCCACCCCAGGGGACAGGCCCAGGGCTCTGAGGAATTCCATAACTTGATGGAGTCCTGTCCCTTTCACAGAAGAAAATGGACTTAAGCTATAGCTTGCTGGGAAGGAATCTGGAACTGAAGACCGTTTTATTAAGAGTCCGTGTCCAATGATTAGGCAGGACCTACATAGAGGGAGAGAGAAACCAGTGTGAGAGAAATGGTGTGGAATGTACCGTTCAAGTCACAAGAACAGAAGAACCACAGACCGAGCCAGCCTCCTGTGCCCTGCCCACGGACAGGGCACGAGAGAACGGCGCCGGAGCCTGGGAGCCCTGCCCCCTGCCTGGCCAGCCGCGGGCGGGGACAGACCCACCTTCCCTTTACAAGGGCCACAGATCCGGCACGTGTGGATGTCTCCAAAACCACCCAGAGCCTGCTCATGCTTCCACACAGAGTAACTGCTTCCAGGAACAAGTTCATGTGCACCCTGAGATTGGACCAGCATTTCCTTTACTGGTCTTTGAATGTGAGAGATGCCCTGGCCTGTCGTCCTTGCCATCACCCCTGAAGACCAGCCAGGTGTGCCCACACGTCCATCAGGCACCCCCCCCCCCCCCCCCCCCCCCCCCCCCCCCCCGACCCTAAGCTTGTCTCCCCTCCGTATCTGCTTTACTGCACACTGTCTTTCTCAGGAAGGTGATGCCAGCCCTTCCTCAGGGCCGGGGCACAGGTAAGAAAACCCCCAAGAGAGGGGCTCTGCAGTGCAGGACCTCCAGCAAACACCCTCCTTTCTGCATTCCTACAAACACCAAGAAACATCAACAAAAAACAAATTACAAAAAGACCAAACAATTCTATACACCGTCAAGGTGGGGTGAAATCAGAAGACATGCTGAGGAGGAAAGCGGTCTCGAGTGTTTCCCCTCGATGGGAGAAGGGCGTGGGGCATGTTCCCACCCACACAGCAGAGGAGATGCCTCTGCCAGAGTCACGGATGCAACCAACACTGCAGTCCCATGGTCTTCAAGTGTGTGTGCGTGTGTGTGTGTGTGCGCGCGTGGGAAAAACCCACCCACTGGCCGGACTGTCATTCAGGGCACATTCCACAAGGCTCACCCTCGCCCACGAAGCCCCAGAGTCCCTCCAGCTGCGACCTCTGCATGTGAGTGTATGAGAGGGGTCACCTGACAGCACAGGCAGACCAGCTACAGTCCTGCCCTCCAGGTCCCTTCCTACCTCCCTATGCCCCTACCAGGGGCCTCTCCCTCTTCCCAAGAGCAAGTATTACACCCTTGGAGCAGGCAGCAGCAGGCCCCAAGATGGGCCTGGGACCCAGTCCCTCAAAGACCCCAGGGGTCGGAAGCTGAGGCTGGTTGTCTGGGAAGAACGCCCTGTGGCCTCTGTCTGCACTTTCCGGCTCAAATCTTTCCAAAACATCAAGCATTCCTTTTTTCCCCGGAGCTATTAAGAAACACCCACAAGCTCAAATCCTGGGAAAAGGAAACAAGGAGACTAAAATAGCTGGCGTGTGCTCCCACTGCAACTAGAAGACCAGGCACAAATCCAAGAGAACTACCCCACACCTCCCTGAAGCCATCCCAGCCAGGTAGCTGGGGTACAAGGGTGCAGTCCTAAGAGGGACAGGAGCTGTGTACCCACCCTACCCAGAAAGACCTGTGGATGGCACGTGGAAAGAGGCTGTCATCAGCGACATGACGGGGTGGAAAGCTGGACAAAGAGTCCTAGGACATTCCCTCTGGCCCCGTGAGCCAGGCAGACATGATCCCAGCACTGGTGACCGACAGGCCACACAGCTCTGCCCAAAGCCCATCTGGGATGGCTGCGGAAAAGGGGGAACCAGGCACTCACCTCTGGCCTGCCCAGCCGAGGTCTACAGATGCCTTAGGAGCAAGTGGGAAAGTGGCATTTGCATCCCCTGCCCTGTACCAATACTGAACCCTGAAGCAGATTCGAACTTTATCCAGAACTGAAGCTCAATGAAAGACCATAATCCAAGTAATAGCTGGGTTCAGAGGATGTGGTGGGACTGGCCAACAGCGTGCTTCTGGGCGGTGGGGAGGAACACATGGTGGCCTGGGACCGAGCTAGGAAAGCCCAACCCCTGCCCCCCCAACTCCATCTGTGGGTGCACCGCCTCCCTGAACTGCTGCTTGGCCCCAAGGACCAGCCCCATGCCTTAAGCAGTCCACAGCATCCTTATCTATGGAGAGCGGCCAGAGAAGGGATCTATGCACCAACCCCCCCCAACCCCCCCACCAAGCTCCAATTTAGTGCCTCTGTTTGGTTTCTTTTGGTGATTCATGTCTCAGGGCCCTGTCGGCAGAAACGACCCTTAGTACAAGTGACAAAAATAGGCCCTTTCAGGAATTTCGGCTCCAGTCCAAATGGAAACACAAGAACAAGGAGGGCAAAAACAAACCCCAAAAGACCAAAAGAAATACCTTCAATAACCCCCACCCTGTCCTATCTTCCCAAGGCAGAACCACTAACTGGCCACAGAAATTGGGGCTGCCTAGCTCCAGGGACCCAGCTTGAGCAGCTGCCCTGGAAGCAAGTGCAGTTTCCTATGTGGGATGGGGTGGCGGGTAGCTGCATTCAATGATGCAGGGGCGCAAGCTTCCCTCCCATTTTCGGGCCGAGTGTCTGAGCCCTAGGGCACAAACCCACACGGTGGTTCTCTTGAGAGAAGCATCCAGCTGACCCACAATAGAGCTCTCCGGTGCACACAGATGGCAAAGGAAAAGCCAGAGCCTTGAAGACAAATGGGAGCCTCCCAAAACTCAAGGTGGGGAGGGTGCCTGGAAAGAGGGATGGGCCGGAAGCAGCAGGGCAAGCCACTGGGCCGGACTGCTGGAGCCTGGGAGCCTGCAGGCCGTCGGCTCAGAGACTGTAAATCTCACCCTCCTTCCCGCCAGGACAGCTGTTCCCAGGACTCTCAGATTACTTGTTGCACAATCTTTCCATCTCTTTAAAAGGGGGGGGCACAAAAAGGGAAAAAGTATTCTCAGCAGTCGAGAGCTGTTGGAGATTCCGTCACAGCTGCCCCACGTCAGATGGTAGGAGGCGTGTGCAAGGCACTCAGGAGCCCAGGAGGATTTCCCACCTAAGGCAAACACACCCCAAAGAGCTTGGGGATCAGGGACAAAGGCCGCGGTCACAGATTCGCAATGAGGACTTGCCGGTTGGGTACCACGATCTACGTCGGGGCCAAAGCAGTTTGCCCTTGGCCAAACTGCGCCGTTTTAACAATTGGGTCCCCTGCCAATTCCAAGCTTTGGGGTTTTCTTTTGGTCACTCATATACTTAGGAGAAAAGGTTGTGACACCCCTAGCAGGAGCAGCGTGCTAGAAACTGCAGGAGGTGCAAAACCCCAGAGCAAAGGCAAACCTGCAGCATGGCTGGCACAGAAGAAGGTGAGAAGTCAGGGGCCACCAGGAATGCTAATTGGGCCCAAGAATACAGTCATTCATCCTGCAGAGGGCAGTTGGCGCTGGCTTCCTGCCAGCCCTTCCTGGGCGGGTATGGGGGTGTGGCGCCCCCTGCTGGTTGACAGATAAAAAAGCAACGGGGGTGGGGGGTGGGGGGGAGGTGCTGGTTAGAAGAAAAGGACAAAGGATGAAGACAGAAGGGCAGCAAACTGCCCACAGCAGTCTCTGCATATAGCGGAGCTCAGGAAATATGGAACATAGCTTAATGACTTAATGACTCTCATTTGGGCCCACTGGAGACAGAATCTGGAGTCTTGGAGAAGCCCTTAGCCCACCTCAAGGCAAGCCTCCCACCTACCTGGGAAGCCTGGTACCCTTTCCTGTCAAAGCGGAGAGATAGAGTGAGAAGGCCCAGAAGCCCTCCTGTCCTCAGCTTCCCCAGAAAAAGGCAGGCTGAGCTGACAAGAGGACCGGGGTGTGCACACGCCTCGGGAGAGGGGTCACAAAGCTACTCTAAGTGTAAGGGGCCTCAAACTTCCTTGGCCCGATCAGATCACATTATCTTCATAAACTGACTACGTGGGGCTTACTATTAGTTTTAAGTCAGAATAACATGCCAGAGACGAAACAGGTCTATGAAAGAAAACACCCAGAAATACACTTCCCACTGAGGATGCACATACCACAGCCTGCCTGGAGAGGCTGCTCGGCTGATGGCACTAGACCTGCCCAGGGGCCAGCCCGCCCCCCCAGACTCGCACGGCCACCCCCACCAGCTCCAGCTCACAGAACAGGCTGGTTGCCAGGCTTCCTTTCTAGCGTCTCCTCCGGGCCAGTGTGAGGGAGCATCTGCCCTTCTCCCCATGCTCCCCGCGAATAATCAGGAAAGCACCCCTCTGCAGGAAAAGCTTCTCTCCTACCACCCTGCAGCTCTCAGCGTCTCCCCCTGCCCTTTCTCACTCCCACTTCCCACACTGAAGCTGCTGCTCAGGTGGGCGGTAGGGTCAGCCAGGACACCACCATGGGGCACACGTGCAGGCCCACGTGTGTGCACACTGCGTTAGGAGCAGCCAATGCAGCTGTGAGCACTCTGGGGCGAATGGCAGAGCCCCGAGCCTGGTGACAGCAGCGTCGAGAGCAGGCCGCTACACACGTGCCGCGGGAGCACATCACCTGAACAGCCGTGCTGCATGCGACTGTGACACAGGAAGAAACTGTAGGGCTGGGCGGGGTCACACTAACACTGATGCCACCACCTGGGCCCCAACACCCAAAGTCCTCACCAGGCCCCCCGAGCTCCCCAGTGTCCTAGCGAGAGGGTTACCGTTCTTATTATGACAGCTGTCTCTGGTCTCAGGTAGCCTGGACATGTGACTGAGCCAAACACAGGGAAGAACGCGACAAGAAGCTCAGTAAGACATCTAACCTGTTTCGGAGTCTTCACTGTCAGAAGAGCTGGACTCGCTGGTGCTCTCCGACTCCGAGGACGAGAAGCCCTTCATCTTAGAGGAGCCAGCAATCACATCAACTTTCTCGGCTGTAATAAAGCAACAGGGACACAGTCAGGCGGGGCCCCGACCTAGGGGGCTACTGCTGGCCACAGGAATAGCCCAACTGCCCGCAAGAAGGGCCAGTGGGCTGCTTCTACGAGGCCCTGACCAGTCCTACCGCATGCCAGCCAAAAGCTTGGCTTAATACTAGAATTTCAAAGCCCCTCCAATCTCTCAATACCCTATGCTGGGTTCACCAGACAGTTAAGAGACAAGGTAGGAAGTAATTCCCTGACATGAGGGACCGCTGAGCTCAGGCTCCCTCAGCTACTTTTCAGACAGTGGGTGCAGGGGACCCCAAGACATGATGGCAGGGACAAAGCAAGACGTGAAAGAGCCCCGGGAGTCTCCCAGCACCTCGGTGAGTAGACCGAGGGCACAGTGTCACTGTGCAGCACCCTAGGGAGGAGCCCGAGCGCCCCAGGAGTCAACGTGGACTGGGACAAAAACTGCATACAACACTCTGATGTGGATATTAAGTCCTACTGGTCTCCAGACAAAAGCTGTGAGTTAAGATGAGACATTTGTAACAGGCAAGTGCTGCCTGGCAGACTGTTGCGGAGGGGCCCGTGTCGAAGCAGAGAAGCAAAGCAGGCAGTGCGGACCTAACATCTTTCCTCCTGGCCACTGCACCTGGCCCTCACCCTCTGTTCTAAAGAGGTGGCAGCAGGGCGGGGGTGGCTGGCTTTTGGGGAAGACCCAGTGGTAAGGGCAACAGAAGCTGCTGCTCAGAGCAAGGCTGAGGACACTGAGGTGCAGGCAGGCCTTAGATGGGTACCGGCCAGGAGGTGGAGAATGGCACCACCAGCCCAGGGTCAAGTGTGATGTCACAGCCCTCCAGAGGTTTCTGTGTCGGGGACACAGCTTTTGTAACTGGAAAAACAGCCTACAGAGGGAGAGGGCCATGTCTGGAAGGCAAAGTTAATGGAGGATGCCCACTTGCCCAGCCTCCTCCCTGTCGGCCAGGGCTGGCCAGGACTCAGAGCACACCCTGCCCCAGGGGCCCAAGGGCACCTTGAGGTTTCCTTTTCTTCCGCAAACAGGAGGTTACGTAGCGCTCCAGTTCTCGAAGGGTGGACGGCTTCAGAGTCTCAAAGTCGATCTCAATCTCATCGGGGTTGGAGTTCTTGAGGGAGGGCTCCCGCGACTGGATGATGTGCACCACGCGGCCCAGTTTCTCACCAGGGAGCTTGTTGATGTCTAGGCTGAGCTGCCGCTTCTCCTCGTACGACATGGGCTTGCACTTGTCCTCCTCCTCCGACTCGTACGCAGGAGGGGGCTTGTTCTTCATGGGCGCAGGCTCCTTCTTGCTACGAAGGGATGATGCAGACACCATTGTCAACGTGAGGCACCCATTCCTCCATCGGGGGCTTAGGGGAGGGCTTCCACACCCCCACCCAGATGGCCTTCACAGGAAACAGGGGAGGCTGGCAACGCCTTCCTGGGAGCACCCAACGGACACAGACCGCAAGCCATGCCCTGTCCTCACCTTCTGCTCCATGCTGCCTATCTTCCTTCCCTTCCCAAACACACTGGGTGCCAAGACCCACCCCAGGAGAAAGGGCGGCGAGGCAGCCTCCCTACCCACCGTGGCCAGCAGGGGTCCCCACCCAGGGCAGCTCAGGGAGGCAGACCTCGCATTGCTGTTGCTGCTGTTATTTTTCTTGGTCTTTTTAGGAGGAAGTTCCTTGGCTTTGCTCTTCTTATTCTCCTCCACTTCTTCTTTCTTTTTGTGCTTTTCTTTTTTCTTTTCTTTTTTGTCTTTCTCCTTTTTCTTTGGTTTGTTCTGCTGGGGCTGGGAGAGGGCTGCAAGCTGCTCGTGCACGGCTTTGAGCTGTGGAGCAGACAGGCAAGGTACACACGCCCATCATCCTGGTCTCTGGGTGGACCCCCGGGCACCAGGGTGCAGAGGAGGAGGGAAGCACAGGGAAGGGGGCTGGCCCTCAGCCTTGTGACCTGCCGCCTCACCAGATTTTTGAATCCCAGGCCACACCCACCCAGGCCGTGGACTCCGAGGATGGCCAGTGTCCTCTTGGCTAGAGAAGCTGCCCAAGCTGGCAGATACCAAGCTCCACAGCCATCCAGGAGGAGGGTCCCTGGGAGGCTGGGTACTAAGGTCCTGATGGCTGGCTTGTAGGGCCTCAGGAGAGATGGACATCCTGGCTGAGGCTCCTCCTTTCAGATGCTGGAAAGATCTAGAAGCCTCGCCTCTGCCCGCAAAACAGCCATGTCTTCCTACCTCCACACCCACGGTGTACATACATGCAGTTGACTCTTGAACAATGTGGGTCTGAACTGTGCAAGTCCACTTATATGTGGATTTTTTTTCCCGATCGATATGGTACTATGAATATATTTTCCAGTTCTTATGATTTTCTTGATGTTTCCTTACTTTGCCGTAAGAATACACTACATAATATGTGTCACCCATAAAATAGGAATTAATCGACTCTTTACGTTACAGGTAGCTTCTGGTCAACAGTAGGCTGTTAACAGGTGTTCTGGGGAGCCAGAAGTTACACACCGATTTCCCACTGCACGGGAGGCCAGCACCCTTAAACCCCTCATCCCGCTGGAACTCCGAGCTGGGACTCGCCAGGTCATGGAGAACCCTGGGGAGACTGCCCGGCCCATGCATTCTGGGTGACTGGGAATGGGGCTGCCCACATCCTCACCTGCTCCTGGAGCTCGGCCAGCCGCTGGGCTCGTTCCTCTTCAGAGTCATCGGTGGAGCTGTCACTGTCGGAGGAGCTATCGCTGCTGCTGTCGCTGGACGAGGGTGGGGCTGCCACTTTGGTTGGGGGTGGCACCGCTGGGGAGGACACGGCCACCACAGGCTCCTCA